CGAATGAAGTGATATTTGCCTTGCTAAAATTGGCCCAATAGTTCTCGAGATATGGGCTGAAGAGTGAGCGCGACGGAGTAGACCACGCGAAGGATGAGTAGAGTAGACTCTCGCTAGTTGCTCATCAAAAGGGTTGTAGGGGTACCATTTCCGAGAAATGAGCAACTTTCCACCAGCCGCCACTCCTGAAGCAATGCCGACTCAAGTTCTCAGAAAAATGAGAGGGAATAAATAGTTTTATTTTCGAATAAAATTATGTGGACCGGTGTGTTGACATACGAAGGACAAAAGAAAGCAACAAGGCGGCTGAGAATGGAGGGCGGCGCTCGAGCGTCCGAGAAGGAGATTGGGGAAAAACGAGTAACTAATGGGCCTGCAACTAGCAAGAGTCTACTGTATGGGCACGGATCATGTAGTATTTGTACAAATATGGTTTGTTTATCCAAGCAGTATAAACAAAGGACCACATAGGATTGGAAATTTCGTCGAGGGCCCCGGATGTGCATGGCGAACTTATGAGTTCATTGCGGGTTACTGACGATCATTGTTCAGTCTCATATAGATGAAACTGCAGGAACTAAGAATGTAACATACGCTAAAATATTCCATGTATAGATGACAGTTTCTCGTTGAGCCCAGAATTCCGTTCTCAAGGTCATAAATTACCCCATCCTTATAACTTAAGCCGGAAATAGAAAAAATTAGAAACTCTCCACTCTGAGAAATACCAGAAATCACTACAAGTCATAAAACCCGAGCGCACGGAGGGACATTTCATACCCTTTTTTTTGCTACTCTTGGGACTTTCCCCGAGGGCCCCAAACTCATGTTGAGGCTGCTTCACAGACCTCTTGCTTCTTTTCACGCCCTCCCTAGAAATTCACCAATTGGAAAACTGAAAGAAAAATTCTGTAAATTCATTTATCGGCAGTAAGCCTCACTCTCAAAATTTGTATTTCAAACACACCCTTTTTTTTTCACTTACTTCAAAGGGACAGAAGATTAAGTTAGTTAGCTTCACGACATCGCAGAGATAAGATACTATTCTCTATACCCTGACGAAACCAAATATTTACACCAAATATCCGTAATTAATTCAGTATTTTAGTGAATTGTGTAGTCAAAACAGTTAAAACATTATTAGTGTTAAATAATCTTTACCTCAGTATACAAATAACTTTAAAACTTGTGTAATTAATATATTCAAACTTTATCTAGTGTATGTGAATTGTGTTTTCAATCTCATCGCATATACCTCAATCTACCCTATCAGAGGCATTTTCGGATTACTCGCCGCTAATGTCAGGTACGAGAAACTGTGTCGCCGTACTGTAATCAGTATATCTGGGACTTACACCCGCAGAGAAGAGGCCTGCAACAATAAGGCGCTACACGCGTCGACTATCCGTACCGAACAATCATTGTCAGTCACAAATGAGTTGTCCAGCCATTGCTACCTCATATAGCCCCACCTATTCGTAACTTATTTGTCTTTTCCAAGGTGCCAACCACAATCGATTGTCTAAGTCTAATTGGGCACAATTGGTCGAGAACCGATCAGTTGCCGACATGAGGTTTAAAAAATCACAAGTGTCAAAATCAAAGATCAGAAATGAAGGTCACAAAGAACCGAAGTGAGGATAAAAAATTACGGTTAACAATAATGGTCCGAATCAGGGTCAGAGATAAGATTGAGAAATATGATTCAGAAATAGGGCAGAAATTGCAGAAAGCATTCGACAGCGTCTGCCACAGGGAATTGCTCTTGAAGCTCAGAAAAGTCAACTGTCCCACATACCTATTAAATATCATCTAACAATTCCTGTTAAACCGTCGCTTTTCCATTAGGATAAAAGATAGCCATTCCCACGAATTCACTCCCCAGCGAGGCGTCCCTCAAGGATCTCACCTCTCTCCCTTCCTATACAATACCTTCTGTCACAACGTCCAAGACAACGCCTTCCAAATAACCAACCCCAAAAATTACCTTGTGCAATTCGCTGACGAAACAGCGCTCGTAGGGCACGGTAAAAACTGGAAATCGGCTAGAAAAAATCTCCAAGATCTCAGCGACGAAATGCAGATGTGGTTTAATCAATGGCGTCTGCAACTCAATCCATCCAAATCACAATACATGCAATTCTTCCTCCATCCTCAAAAATTTTCCTCCAATATCACTCTCCAAAATATCCTCATTGCTCCCTGCCTTCATGCCAGATACCTCGGGGTTGAAGTTGATTAAAAGCCTATGCCAATACCATTAAAAAAAGTGCATTGCTCGAGGCGTGAAGTTCCGTGGCCTTACCTATAAGGATAAAAGGCTCAACATCTACCACATTACTAAAATATATAAAACAATTTGCCGGCCAATACTAGGTTATGCCCATCCACTTTTCTACTCCAGACCTGGTACCAAACAAATAATAGGCGTAGCAAAAAAACCACCCTCCGCAAGATGACAAAAATCCGCCACCCTGATTACCTTCTCCACAATCCCTCCAATAACCTGCTTTACGAACGCACAAAAATAGAACCCATCACCGACAGATTTCACAAACTGAGAACGAGTTTTGCTCGTAGCAACCCGAGTGGAAATTGCTTCAGGCCCACCTGAAGCACGATCAGAGCTTGATCAGGTTTTTGTAAGGTTCGACTGATCCGGTGATTCCTGATGAGAACCTGACCAAGTTTTGATTCAGCAGATCGGATCCGAAAAACTACAGGTGAGTTCAGATCAAGTTCTGATCAGGTAAACATGATCAGATGATGCCTGATGAGAACCTGACCAAGTTTTGATCTAGTAGATCGGATCCGAAAAACTACAGGATGATTCAGATCAAGTTCTGATCAGGTAGGCACGATCTCACCATGAGGTCGGCTGCCTGACCCCAATTTGATCAAATTCGGATTTGATGTCCTTGATCGGCATTTGAAAGGAGTCAATTGAAGAGAAAATGATCGGATTCAGATCCGCTCTACCTGACATTAATTTTAATAAGTTTATCGGATAATTTAATTAACTATTATTATACTATTCAAATTAAGTTTTATCAACCATTATCAATAATTATTTTCAATCTTTAAAAAGGGTCATTATACTATAATTAAAGTAAATTAAATTAAATTAATTTAATTTAATTAATCAATTTAATTAACAGCCAGCCCTTTTCAAATGTACAGAAGGGAGGGATGATGATGCCGTAAATACGTATTAGAGGAGTATCAAACTTACACGCAAATGATCTTGAGAAAAAAAATCACTAAATGTCTATTTATTTATTAGAGATATTGTTATTATCATTATTATTATTCATTAATGAAATAAATAAAAATTTAATTGAACATATTTTATCTCTGAGAATACAAACGCACATCCGCGAGATCAGGAATAATCGTAAATTCAATGAATACCCCGATACAAATTATATAGGCAATGTACAGTTTACTCAATAGTAACAGCGTGATAGCGTAGTGGTTAGGGCATAGGATTAGCAATCATAGGGTCCCCGGTTCGATCCTCAGCATAGGTAAAAAAATAATAAGCTTTTACAGAGGTAATAACAGTAGAGATTTATTAAGAGAGGCGGCCTACGGTGAAAGAATTGAATTATTTTGTTTTGAATTAATTATCATTGATAATTATTATTGATACTGACAGGCAAGTCATCCGGTTTTCATACAGTTTACTTGATCAAGTTCGGATCCATTCGTCCTGATCAAATCCGGATTGGTCGGAGGCGTAACATGTCTGATCAGGACCGGATCCGTCAGCTTGATCAATACCTGATCAGTGGTCAGGTCTAACCTGATCCAAACTTGATCAAGACCTGACCGGAATTTCCACTCGGGAAACTGGACCACTTCCGAAACCTCTGCAACAAACGCCATCTTAGGGTCAGGTCTCGTTACAAATACCCTCAGCACACCTTATTTGAGAGTCTCGAAACCATCCGAAGGGAGAAGAATATGGGCTCTGATTCCTGGGGAGGCCTTGTTCACCTCCAACAATAAATGGTGAAATTTTTCAACTCTTCATATAATCGCTTTATATTGTACCATCTCATCATGCACTCAATCTCGTAAAAACTATTTTCAATTACTCGATGCTCATCCAGCAAAATGAACACACAAGCAGATTCTTTCTTTTTCCATCAACTATTAGTTACATAAAATGTAAATACTTGTAAATACTTGCAAGTCGTTTGGAACTTGCAACAAATTCCGTTAAAAATAATAATAAGGCGGAAATAAGAATCAAAAGTCAATCGTCAGAGAATACGAATCTCTGCCATATGTGAGATATCTAAATGTATATATTTCCAATCTCCCAAAAAATATATAAATGTTTTTGTAGAAAAACTGTGCAAAGAAATAGTTCTGTGTGGTTGTTTCTGGAAAAAGAAATACTATTTAAAAACAAAGACAATTCCCACAAAAATTTTAAAACAAATGAAGAAATAAAAATCCACGCCAAGTTAAGCGCGGATCAGAAGATAATAGTCACGTGAATTTTTGATGTGTTACAAAGTTACAACCTACTTGTAACCTACGACTGCGTGATATTTTCCATAAGTTCCTTGTAGGTCGAAATCTATGCGGAACTGATGACTGACTATGTCGGTTGCACCCGATTAGTGATTGTGGGTAAGTTGGGTCAAAGTGGAGATTTTGTCATCGATTGAAAATCTCAACTTCTCAGTTTATAAATGAAGATATTAAGAATTACAAATGTTCTACTTTGTCCTACTCGCCTCTAAATATATTCTTGAATCTTAATTGATTCGAAATTAATCGTAATTTAGTATTGAATATTCATTTTTTGATTGGAAATTCAAGTAAGTTAAGGAATTCTTACCTCCCTATCGCTGAAAAATTTGAAATTCACTGTCACTCTCTTAAAAATTACCACTCAACTATCTATGAAGTTTCATTTTTTCCTCTACAGAAAGCTTATCTTCATAGAGCACTAGTGTTGGAGTAAACATGAAATTAGATGATATTCAATGATTTTTTTACGTGCGTAGGAAAATTTCCTAATATGCAGACCATATTTACCTGAGACAAGTGAATTATGTTCAATGGCTCGAATCTCAGAATATTTACGTTTCACGGAACTTGTACATATTCTCGTTTATCGCTATCATTCCGCATTACATCATGAATATATTATATGTCGGAACATTGGAAGTGCATTTAAAAAAACATAAAAACAATAAATACTTGGCGATGGACAATACTTCTACAAGATTAAAGTGAGTTAATTTGTGACAAAATAATACTTGAGTATAACAGTATTTTAAAGCATGAGGTTTTTTTCGGGCCATATAAGTTAAGATGCCTGGGACTGGGAGAATTCAACGATTGAAGAAAAATTCCTTATTTCAAGCAAATATTTTTCAGATATTAGAATTTTTTTCCTCAGTATGGCCCTGCGTTTCTATTGACGATAGACGGGTCTACTATTGTATTTCCACCGACCAATTACTACAATTCTGCTACCGTCCAACTTCACGGTGAAAATCAGCTCAGTGTAGTTGAGAATTTCATGAATAGTTCGAAAGGAACTATCCCATTCTATTTATTTTAATATTTTTTCATAGAAAATTATTAGATACCTATTCTATTATTACATGATAATAATCCGATAAAACTTTTAGTTTCCAATTCTCACTTTTTGTTATTTTTTCTACTCATTCTATGAAAAGACAAAGATCGAAATCGAATTTTTGGGTATTCTTTCATTATTCGAAAAAATATTTCGATTTTAAAACTTTCCGGCCACATTAAAAATAATTTTTTTAGTTCTCGTTCACTTTTTTTAATTTTTTGAATTTCTTCTCGCTGAAATATTGATATTCCTTTATACTTGAGAAAAAAAAGTGATTCGAAGTTCCGGCCGATATAAATGAAAAAAAAAATCCATTTTCTCGCTGATTATCCCTGTCTGATTCCTTATCAATTTCCTTTTCATAATAATAATTTTTATTTTATAATAATTTTTCATAATAATAATTGGAATCCGACCATAGGAATGAGGAGTAGCGATATCCTTTTACCATATGAAGAAAAAAACCGATTTTTAAAATTTTCAGTAATACATGACGAGATTTTCCTATTATCTATTTCCTATTTTCGAATGACTTTTGTTTTGTCAGTTAGTTTTGATCACAAAAAAACACTTATTATTGATCTTTAACATAATTCCTCTTCCTTCAATGCTGTAACTTGTGAATTAAGAAAACAAAAACTATTATAAGAATAAGAATGAATGCAATGAAATCAATCGATTGTGAAGACGGCAATGGGAAAAATAAAATTTAAAAAAAAATTGTATAAATTAATCTATCGACGGGCGCAAAGCGCTTGTTCGCTAGTTTGTAAAAAATTCTATTGAAAAAAATTTCCATTTATTAAAAATTGGCTTTCACAGAAACGACAGAAGAAGGAAGTGAATGAGAAAATTCAACAAAATTTTTTCAATTTTTCACTTGCGAATTTGTGACATGCACGAAACAGGTCAGCTAGCAGCTTGCTCCACGGCTCGGATTTAATTTTCCGCCTGCACATTGTGACGACTTACTTTCCCCAAAGGTCTTTTTTTCTATTTCTCCTTTTCTAATTTTTTTTGTACACACTTCGCCGTGGCCCGTTTCAACCTCATTTATAGGAGAGAGTGGGGTAAAATGGACACTTTAGACTTTTGTTTTAATTACTCATAACTGAGAAACAAATTTATCAATTGAGCTCAGTTTAGGCTCATCGCAAAGGGAAAGAAATGTTCTTTGCAATGAAAAAAAATTATAACATTTTATCAACATTTAAACCCGTCATTAACATTTTGAAAAAAGTCAAAAGTATCCATTTTACCCCAACCTCCCCTACAGACTAAAAGCGAACTGAGTGACTATCAGATACTTTAGAAAAAAAGAACGAAAAAGTGGGCACACAAACACGGTGGCTTGGCGCAGTGGATAAGTTCATTGCCTCACATGCGAAAGGTTCCGAATTCAAATCCCGGCCGGGTGGAATGGTGCGATTTAACCATTTAAAGTCTTGATCATCATTGCAGTATACCCTAACCGGGTCGAAGCGATGTAAAATAACGATAAAAAAAATTGGGCACACACTGATAGATGTAAATAAGTTATTTGAACGCTACTGAATGAGGATGGGGAATAAATAAATTATCTGAATATTTTAGGTACTCATGTATTCACCGGTTGAAACCACGGGGAACGTCTAGCTCTTGTAAACAAACCTCTAATGAAACTTCTAATGAGTCAAATCTTATTATCATTTTAGAGTGGGTGTGAGTGAAAGACGTAGAGCAATAGGAAGGGTTCATCGACAATGACAGGGTGTTGGAAAGACTGAGTTTGTCTACTACGGAATATAAGGTAGAGTCAAGTTTAGTTTACTTCGGATGCATAAACACACGTCGTTACGTTGAATCACGAACGTTGATTCGAAATGAGGGATTCGAGATTATCCATACAGAGTACAAACATTTTTCACTGACAAATTTGCTCTGGGAAATAAATAAAATAGTTCGTATCCGTATTATACATTAACAAAATTTTGGTGGAAATTTGGACTCATCGGGAATGAATAATTCACGAGAGAAAATCTGAAAACTTGTCGTCCCGTTATTATTATCTTCTAAGGAATAAATAAAAATAGCAAATAACATTAGAATTCCTAAAATTTATTTTTAAAAATAAACAATTAATGCTTTCATAATTCGTGGAATTTCGGAGATTTTAGGAAAATTGAATGAAGACGGGATAATGAATAAGAGAAAAGAAGGAGCAGGGATGGGAAAATTGGGAATTTGGCGTTCCTGAATATTAAATTACATTTTTCTTTCGTAATTTAAGAAAAATAATTGGAGATTACAATTAAATATCAAGTTGTATATCAGTAACCCATTAATCCGTTGAAATTTATAATTCTTCTGAATCGATTGGAAAATACATGAGTTTTTATTATCACTAATCGCAAATTACCAAAATATTCGAAGGAATTTTCAATGACCTCTACTAACTATCGGCGATAGAAATAATCTAATAAAATGCCATTAGAGAATACTTGACTAACTGGGAATTTGATTTCTCAGATTACAGATTATTGAATAATAAATATTCACAGTACCGAATTACTGGAATGGGCAAGTAACTTCATATTGTAGTTCTTCAAATTACATGGGTAATTTGGATTTTTGTAAAAAAAAAAAACAGCACCAACAAAAAGTTTGGGTTGGTTCTTACTGGGAAGTAGAAATTTTTTAAAAATACAAAGAAATGAAAAAGAAAGCCAAGTCAGCAATGTCGAATGAACGAACATAGTGCACAATCAGATTTCTATGAGAAAAATTGTTTCAAATCGAATAAGGATTTTAAAAAATTCTTCCTGAAATAAGAAATTACTAGAAGGAGAACCAACGTCCTTGGCGCGAATCAAAAGATAGCGGATTAGATTGATACCAGACAGTGAGTTGAAAAACTCCGCGCCAAGAACGTTGGTTCTCCTTCTAGTAATTTTTTATTTCATGAAGAATTTTTAAAACCCTTATTCGATTTGAAACTATTTTTCTCATAGAAATCTGATTGTGCACTATGTACGTTCATTCGACATTGCTGACTTGGCTTTCTTTTTCATTTTTTTTTATTTTTCAAAAATTTCTACTTCCCAGTAAGAACCAACCCAAAGTTTTTCTTGGCGCTGTTTTTTTCACAAAAACATTTGTTTTTGTTTTTTTAGGGAGATTTCATTATTTTTTTCAAAATAAGCAAGGAATCTTTTTTATATCCTATAAATTTTTTTATTTCCAATTCAATTCGGCTCATTTATTTTTTACACGATAGATCATCTTTCCAATCAACAATCGAAGCAAAACAAATAATTGTACTTCACAGTCATCATTTCCGTCGACTTTTAATTACTTATTCCAGATGGATATATTAGGGCACTGCACAATCGGCCGGCTGTGCGACTGGGGTTTTATATGGTTTCCCGTGCAGTCCTAGCTCGAATGGGGCACAGCTAAGAGTAAGACGGCCATGATACCGTAGATAAAAATGAGAGGAAAAAGAAAGGAGGGGAGGCAGACTAGAGGAGGGGTTTCAAATCGAGAATTACTTCGATAAAACCAATGAAAATAGAAAAAATAAATAAAATACTTATTCCAGATTTTCCGACTTGATTTGCTTCTTCTAGAATTTATTTATGCACGGAACTCAGTTGAAAAATCTGGAATTTATCGTTCATATACCAAATTCAATTTGTAAATTCCCGAGCTCCCCCCTTGGTGGTGTGGCTGTATTGCAGTGCTACCAACTCCGTAACAAAAAAATGATAGGAGATAATGTGAAATAGGAGAATGTGCATGTGAACCCGTTGCTGTGTGCGTAATTTTTTAATATTGATTGGAATAAAAAAATAGTTACATCAATGAGAAGCTGAGTAACTAAGATTATTTTTCATGAAGCTTGTCACATTTGTATTTTATTTAATGGATATGAGTCGGAAGTAGTGGAGGGGGTAGTTGCTTCGTGTATAGATAGACGGCAGCGTTCGGCCAGTTTTGTACAGTCAGAGTCAAAACTTTTTCTTGGCCGATACGCTGCCGCGTATCTCGATCTGACTTCGACGATTTTCCGATTAGCTGGATAATTCATTCGTTATTTCCCAATTACTTAATTGACGCGATGATTTACTTTAATATTTACAAATTCCCTTCTGTAATTTGGAATTGGAATAATCAAAAACAGAAAAAAATGGAAATTTAAGATTTTTTTTTCTACATTCTCGAATCTGCAGTTTAGAATTTGCATCCGGCTAAAATCTAAAAAAAAAACAATTAATTTCAGAAAATAAATAATTGAAATTAATCAACCAAAAAATGATGGTCTCAAGACAAAAATATTCTGGAATCTATATCGAATTAGGGGATTAAGTTCCCCTCTTTAGCACATTTTCAAAATGAAAAACATTTTGAAAATTTTGAATTGAACCTTTGAAAAAATGGAAAAAAATTGTCCTAAAAGGTTGGGCTTAGACGATTCAGCATCATCTGAAATGTGCAGATTCATTATCCCCTAAAGAAACATTTTTTTCTACTTTTTGGCCCAATTTCAATGTCCAAATTCCCTTTGAAAAATAAAAACAAAATTGTCCTCAACAGTTGGGCTCAGATGATTCAGAATCATCTGAAACGTGCAGATTCATTATCCCCTAAAGAAACATTTTTTTC